AAGTTGAAAAGTATTCTGTCTCGCAATCTTATGTGTTAACAGTGGGAGTCAGGATCCCAGGTTGGTCAGTCCCTGGTCTTGATCGCGAGTCCTCTGAAGGAGTTTAAACAGGCACATGCCATCATTGCTTCGTCTGTGGTGCTGAGGATGGGTTGGGTCTGCTCAGAGATGACCATGGCCTCGATTTCAGACAAGGGCATAGAAGTGGGAGTCACTGGTAAGCTAGAACCTGAAATGCACCAGTTGGGGTAGAGAGGAGGGTTCTGAAACTGGTGCTCAAGTCCTCCCAGAACCAGGGAGCTGCTGGGTTATAGAGCAAAGCCAGAGGGGGATGAAAGAGAGGAGAGGGCGCAGGCTTCAGAGGAGGAAGTTACTGCCCAAGAGCCCAAACTTCTTGAAAGGAGGCAAGGGAGGAGACGTGGACAGTGCTGTGAAGTGGGTCCAGAGGGGTGAGAGGATGTGGGGATAAGAAGCCTGTAGCGGTGAAGATGGGGGCTGAGGAGTTGGAGTGTATGTGGTTAGGGGGTGGATTGTTTGCATCTGGGGCATTCTGAAAGGTCTCCAGTGCCCGACAAGCCTGACACCAAGAAGACATTTAAGAACATAGAGTGTTTTGGTGGCGGACGGGCTGAGCCATCCTGCTGCCCGGGATTCAGTGTCTGGGCCCTGATGGGGAAGGGGCGCTTTGGGAGCGACAGCACTGGCACCCGGACTGCTGTCAGGGCCTTCCCTTCCACACGCCCTCTGCCCCAGGCCAGGCCCTCCGTGCCACCCCGTCACTGTAGTCCTTGCTGGTTGTCCTGCTTTTACTCAAACCACTCCCAGGCTGGAAGATTCCAGTGGTTCATCACTGCCTGCAGAAGAGAGTTCAGACTCTTGAGCTTTGCATCCACAGCTGTCCACTCGCAGCGCTCCCACACCTCTTCTTCCTCCCACCTGGCTCCTGGAGCGCCTCCTGCTGATGCTGGGGCTGAGCCAAAGTCCCAAAGCCCGCAGCGTCCTCTGCGCCCAGTCCTGGGGCAGCTCGTGCCGCATACGGTTCATCCATTCACTCTGCGTTTGACCTCGATGGCATGCCCCTTTCTGGGCTGGGTGCTGGCTCGTGTGAAAATGCAAAGGTCACAATCCCTGCTCTGAAGGAACTCCAGGTCCAAGATGGCAGCCCTAGCAGTCAGAGGGCAGGTGGCAGGGGCACCTGTGGGTTGGCCGTCCTGTCCTGGCCGCTCATTGGGTTTCCAGCAGGCACCACCCATGGTGCTGCTCTGCAGGGCAGGGAGTGTGACGGAGGCTTTGTGCCTTTTAATGTTCACGACAGGAATGGGCTTAATGAGTACTCGTGTACGTAAGCATTTTTTATTGAAGAATAAATTGGTCTTCCTTGGCCTTAGTGTAGTGAGCTGTGTCAAGCTCTAGTGGAAG